GAGTTATTGCTTTCATTTTGCTGTACTATGTAAGTGATATATATGCACGTATGTAGTTACACAATGAATTACATTTACATTCAATTTACATTCTGTGTAGACAGGTTATAGTTTGCACTTTCAACTTTTTTCATTTGCTTCAATGTCAAGCTGTTACAAAAACATGGCAACAATGTAAAGGTGACTTTTTCTGCAAGACCATTAAATCTCTGTGTTTACTTACAAATGTGGTTAGAGTCAGAGTTAACTGATATCGAATTACACCATGTTTTTGTTATCGCTGCTGATAATAGCAGCTTCTAAGGGTTCAGACTATGTCCCTTTAAGAAATGGCTAAACTTTTCTCTAGCTATGGGATGTGATGTATGAAAGAAGACTCCAGTTTGGCTATGCTGCCCTCAAGTCTCAATGCTGTCCCACAGAACCCAGCACTGGAACTGGGCCAGGTGCTTTTTAACTTCTGAAGATCAGGATGAGTTCCAAACTGAAGAATTATAGCCCTAATGTGGGCCTCTTAACATTATGCAAGTCTAAGAGTGTAACGGCCCAATAAAAAATAGAAAAGAGAAGGGAGAAAAAATACTTATGTAAAGCCCACGTTTCTCTTAGTTTGGTCTGTGGGGAGGGGAGTTAGAGAAGCTCACCTGGTGGTGGAGAGGGAAGGCATGCATTACCCACTATGACCTCTCCTTCCCAGTGCACATGTCACTGATGAATATGTTTACATTTGTGCCCATTTTACATTTGTAACTATGTTTACAGTCTACATTACACATGGTTTGTTTTCTTTTGGAGATGTGTTCTGGAGGAGTCTGCATGACTTTGTTTCTCTCTCCACCTGTGTAGAACAAGTCAAGTCAAGTCAGGTCAAATTTATTTATATAGCGCCTTTTACAACAGATGTTGTCACAAAGCAGCTTTACAAAGAATCCAGGTCCACACCCCCAGTGAGCAAGCCTTGGCGACAGTGGCAAGGAAAAACTCCCTCAACAGGAGGAAGAAACCTTGAGAGGAACCAGACTCAAACAGGGGAACCCATCCTCCTCTGGTCGACACCGGATAACAGCACAGACACAAAACAGTATAAATGGATACAGTTTTACACCACTGTGCAGTGCGCCGGCCGCATCAGTCACGTCAGACCCTCTTAGGACAGGCTGCCGCTCAGCTCAGGGAAAAAGAGGGGGAGAGGGAGAGAGGGAAAGAGGGGGGGGTGGGGGGATAAGAGGGACATAGTTAGGAAAACAAATTAACCAAAGGCTCGACTAAACAGGTAGGTTTTTAGCCTAGACTTAAAGATGGAGGCTGTGTCTGAGTCCCGAACACAGACTGGTAGGCTATTCCAAAGCTGGGAGGCTTTGTATGAAAAGGCTTTTCCCCCTGACGTAACTTTATTTATTCTGGGTACTAATAATGAGCCCGCACCTTGTGATCTAAGTGGGCGTGTCGGTTGATAATAGGAAATAGATAATAGAACACAATGTAATAATTTCCCAGTAATGTAATAACAGGCAGAAATGTAATGAAATTTTGCACTTAACCTGGTCAAAAATGTATAATAAAATCCAACAATGTAATAATTTGTCCAATAATCTAATACAGTGTTCTAACTGAGAAAGTAATGATATTTTTACTGAGAACTTACAAACATAATATATTTCCAATAATTGAATAAGGTATTATTATGGTCAACCTGAACATGTAATAAATACCCAATAATGTAATAAGATATTATATTACTGGTAACAATATTATTACATTATCACAGTTAAGACAAAGTTACTACATTACTGGATTTCATTAAATTTTTGACCAAGTAAAGTGCATTTGGGGTTATTACATTATTGGAAAATTATCACAATTTTGGGTGCTACAATCTGCAAACAAGATAAGCATGTAGAGAAAGGGCTCTAAATGCCTACTTCTGGGCATTTAACTGGAAAGGGCGATTCTGCTAATTCTTGCAGTTCCTTCATTTGTGAAATTCAGTCAACAATTGATGAGACCCTACTCACTCTCCATTCTCAATTGTTTGCTTATCCATCACAAATATATATTTATCACCATCAGTAATGCACAGGTTAGAGATCAGTGTTTACTAATGCTGATTAAGTGACTGTTTATTTCAATTCAAACATAGAGTTGCTTAAGCAGGTTAAAATATGTTTCTTTTTTAACTTATAATTTGCATTTTAAAATGTTAAAAACATGGTGTCCTTTTTGGTGAGAGCACAAACTTTTAGAATAGACTAAGTGTAGGTCTGTTTTTGTTATTTTGTTGTTGAGCTAACTTTAGCATGGTGTGAAATTTGTTGTTGTTTTTAACTGCCTAGTAATGATTAGCTCCAACAACATAGTCCAGCTCAGCAGCGTAGCATATAAACAGATGTGATCTCATAATGAGAACATCTGGGGACAACAATGAGAAATTTTCTATTAAATGTGAGTGGGAATGTACACACATAGACGGTAAATACCAACATCCAGTTTGAATGTCAACAACAATATTCCAGTCAATAATAATTGAAAACAGAAGACTAGCCTGAAAACATTTTTTATTTCTTTCATTTATTTAGTTATTTGAACATATTTAGTGGCTATTTGTTAATCTAATGCTTGCATATACAGTGGATTGTCCCATGTTTTGGATGCCCCTTTGGCCTTGTAGTCTGAGGCCCCAAAAGGCCTCTGGCAGTCAGAGGCCCCAGGGTGTAGGTTGAACAGTAGTTTTGCCAATGTTCTCTAAAGCTTGGCTAACCTCATAACAGCTGCTATGAAAGAATACATTTGTAGGTGGAGCATGGAGAGGTCATTTAGCTGTTTAGTCGGGAAAATACCCAAATAAGCAGGGCAGCAGAGCTCAAGGACATGGGTTGGGAACCACTGTCTTAACCTTTTGGCTAAACATAGAAATGTGCATCAGACTTCAGATGACCTTGGGAAAAACTGTTACAAGTGTTTCTTATCCTATTTTCTGGCTACAGCACACACCAATTACAAAACTCACCCCACCAGAATAGTGAATGATCCAATCTGTTGAGGATGGCGTCACCATGATTGAATTAGAAGATACACAGAGGGGTTGTGGGTGATCTCAGTGTGGCACTCTGATGCTAACTAACTCATCTTTTCACTACTGAGACAGTAGGAGTCTGTGCAGTCAGGCACAAACAGCTCTAATTGATCTGGCTTCTGTCAGATGCTGCATTTTTCACTCAGGGTCCATTAAAGACAAGATGCTTGTGGATGTAATCCCTTGAACTCTATGCATATTATTCAGTGTTAAATCTTAAGACTTATTATTGAGTAAAATATGCTTCAAGTTTAGTAATGTAGTTGCCAATGTGAGTGCTTGTAGTTTAAAGGCTAAACTAAATGTTATCATTATTATTTGGTATTACATGCATTCTAGTCATTTATCTTTTTCCATTCTGTTTGGTTAGTTAGTTGGAGAACTTTCACACTGATATTAGTGCCTAAAAATTGACAAGTGACTCATTGTGATTGCATCACATGCTAGTTCCCGTAGATCCGTCAGCTTGTTTCCAACTGCAGCCTGGACATGCTGTTTACATCTGCTTATCAGGATGGATAAAGCTTCTGCCAACTGAAAACTTTTTTTGCTATATCACTTAGACAGGGCTTTCAGCTGAGCATTAGATCTACTTTAAATAGCATGAATGGGTCCCATTAAAATTAACACTGAAATCTTCCCCTATTATAGAAGGCAAACATAAAGCTCCATTTCGGAAGGGCAAAAACACAAGGCCTGTCGGGCCTAAGGGACAGGCCAGCGGGTTCTGGCCGACAGACAAGCACAGGAACTAAATGTAGATTTCTTGGGCTGGTGGCAGATTGAAGAGTTCACAATGCTGTGGATCATGTGGAGCCCTTCTTCATCTGTACATGGAGCGCAGGCAGGGCTGGTGCGCTTACATAATCCAGTTAAAATACACCCCAGTCACATGGAGCATTCAGCCCCGCACAGAGAGAGATATCCCACTGCCGCTTGAGCTGTGTTGGCAGCCATTCAGACATTTACGCACACACACACACACACACACACACACACACACACACACACATAGCCATTAAAGATTCGATTGTGATTCGCTGCCAGACTCTCAGTGCCCTGCCTCCATGTGAACTATCTGTGGAAAAACGAGCAAGGAGCTTTCGCACTGCACATGTGACTGACCGGAGTCTTCACTGAGAAAAGTCTATATAAAACACATAAACACATGCACGCATGCACACACTGGGGGGGAGGGGAAAAGAAGTGTGTGTGTGTGTGGGGGGGGGGCTTTAAAGTCACAGTGCAGGCTTCCTGGAATGGTGCTGTGTTTCAGTTCAACTGAGACTACATGACCTCTCACACACATTTTTACCCAAAACACATACAAGCACACACAAAAACACAAATTATTTCTTTGTCAGGAACGAGCAAACATATGTTCAACTGAACACGACATAGAAGCCTCAACAACCAAATACACAGTAATTTTCCAGTATTTTCTGTGTCCACACCTTTTGTCTTTATTACAGCTTCCGTTCTTTTATGTAGACTTGCTTTCAGCATTACAACGAAATCTGTAAATGTCCAAAATTCTGTCTTAGAACATGGTTGCATTCTCTACGTCTCGCAATCCAAAAAATCACAAATACAATTTTAGACACATCGTTGAGTTATCTTCTCTCAGTGGAAGGATAGACAGAAACACCGGTGGATTTTTTCAGATCTGAAGCAAGAGTTATTTATCTCCCTTGAATATGAACACAACTTAAACTCCTGTTTATCTGATGGTGACAGTTTTGTAGGTCTACTAGATCTTGCACAGTTGTTAGGAGTCCCATTTTTTCTTTATGTTTTAATATTTTTTTAACTTATTAGAAACTTTTAGAAACTCCTGTTTTTTTACTTATTTTCCTTTGACTTTCCTCCTCATTATGCAAGTGGATTATCTCAATCTAATAATGTATAGTGCCTAGTTTGTGTTTGTTATATATATATATATATATATATATATATATAACAAACACAAACTAGGCACTAGCTCCCTGTCGCATCCAGTGTTTTTTTTTTCAGCATACTTTGTGTAAGAGCTAAAAGGTGGGTATGACAGGCATCCAACAAATGGGCTCCATGTGCGGCCACATCAGTGCTGACCAGTCCTTAAAAGAGCAGCGAGGACATCAAAACCCGCATAATGGCAGAGGTACATCTGGCCGGCGTGCTCTAAAGAGAAGCAATCAGACCATCTGGAGAGAACACACATACACACATGTTCTCAGTGAAAGGCCGCATGATTGCCCATTCACTAGCTTCATAACAAACACCACCTCAGCATCTGGCTCTGCTGTGGTCAGCCATTTTAATTATGCAGGTTGCTTTACTAATTCAGTAAGTGTTTATAATGTGGACTGTGTGATTTGAGTGGGGAGTGGAGTTGGGCCAGAGCAGAACGTTTTAAAAGCCTGTTATGTACAGCTGACTTAGGCCCAGTTACATAATCAATAACTGCACATCTCCCCCTGCCTCCCCAGCACATGGATTTCCTCCCAGAGCGATGATGGCTCTTTCTGGAATAATCCTGCCAGATGGAGTATCAGGCTGCTGCTGACCAACCCATGAGGCAAGAAGCTGTTAAAAAACCTGATGCATCTTTAGCTCACTTTTTTCTATTATGCAAATGAGACCACAGCAAGGAGCTATCATAACCACACACAGCAGAGAAAACCTCTCTCTCTCTCTCTCCCTCTCTGTGTGTGTGTGTCTTTATGTTTGTGCTCATGTTGATTACTTGTAATCTTGCTTAGAAGGGTCCATCCATTCAAATGTTCAACTTTATATGTATGCACAAACACAAACAAACACAACACAACACACAAACACTTAACTTTATATTTGAGTAAGTGCTCCCCTCCACCTACTGGAGTGTTTCACAAAGTCAACTTTATTCAATTTTAGTCAAAGTTGTTCTTTTCATGATATTACATATACAGTTCTGTGAAAAAGTCAGAGACCACCCTTCATGTATTGAATTTATAGTCAAAACAGCCATTGAGTAGAAGTTATTTATTTTTCAGTGTTAAGAAAAAAGCAGAACACATTGGGGTCCAAAAGTCTCACTAGTGAAAATGCTTCTCTTTTGCTTTCCTTTCTAATTTAATGGAAAGATGCCAAAAGTTTCTGTGGCACAGATGCCAGAAGTTTGTACAAAAACATCTGATGAGTAGATCAAATCCTCCTGAGAGTCGTCTGAGCACGTCCTTTGCTGGGAGAGATAAGACTAAAATGAATTATGAACTTTTTTATCCTAAGGCCTCAACATGGCCAGTGTTACAAATTGGCTTAATTTAGAACAATGACCCTGAAATAGTACAGAATCTTGAATATTTCTTCTTCATTTTATTTGTCATAACTTATTTTACTTTGTTTTATTTATTTATTTTTTTATTTTAATAAAATGTTCTGTTGTGGTATCAGACTTTTGGACCCCAATGTATGTTTAGCAGAGAATTACACAGAAGTCTCAATAACTAAATCTTATGTCAATGTCTTATGTTTTCAGTATTTTGTGTGTGCACCTTTTGTCTTTTCTTTTTAAGAGACTTGTTTTCAGTTTTTCAAAGAAATCCACAGGGAAGTTTTTCTAGACCTCCGAAGTTCAGTTTTAGGAGTTTGTGGCATTTATGCTAAAGGAAGTGTGGTCTCTGACTTTTGCACAGTACTGTATATTTACATTTTGTATTGATAGCATATATTCCAATATTTTCCATTTCCATTTGGCTGTGTGTTATTTATATCCCACTTGCTCTAAAGTGAGGTAGAGGACAAATCCTCATATGCACCTCACACATTCTCCATCATGCACAGAGAAAACAGCCTCCATATCCTGAGCCCCTACGCTGTCCGCTATGCGCCTGGCCTGAAGTGCCTTTCCCTGTATTTTCTGAATGAGAGTAAGGGAATGAAAGAGAAAGATCACAGCTGCAATCGCCGCTCTCTCTCCATCAGCCTCTGAATCATACGGCCTGTCTGACAGCACCCGCAAATCACCACACCACTTCCCACCTCTGACTCATCTCAGACCCTTACACACGAACGAGAAGACGAGCACCATGCAGAGCGTGTGTGTGGAGGCAAAAACCCATGCTGGAATGTGTCATGTGCAAGGACCCTTGTAATTGCAGGTTGTGAAAAGAGTCATGCCAGTGGCGACCTTCAAAGCTTTTGTGGTTTATTTAGAGATGAATTCAGTCACGGTGAGAAAGCTTTCAGCTCCGCTGTGAAAGGAAGTGCTCTCTCTATTCAACTGGAGTGAAGATCGATCCTACCTGAGGATCGTGGCAGAGTGAGTGGGTGGTGGAGTTAGTAAAAGTTCAGTTCCCTGAGCGCTTTTTATGCTTGTTACAGTAAGACTCGGAGGCCTCATGTGATTCTCCAAAATCTATAATTAAATACAATAAACCCATAATTATCTCGAAGCAGCACTGTAATCTCAAATGCACCATAATCATGTTTTTGTCTCCATTTGGACTTTTCCGCAAGTTAGCAGGAATTTAGTCTATGCTGCACAGTAGTTCTTATAGACAAGTGATAATTGTACTATAATTGTTTTGTGTAAACAATTAAAGAGACAAAAAATCCAAGAGACAGTGGCAGGTGTGCGAAGGCATTGTTATGATAAGAGTTATACTATCAGATCAGTTGTGAAGGTTTTATCATTCCTCCTGTCTCCTACACTCTTGAAAATAAGGGTGCCAAAAAGTGTTCTTCGCACTTTAAATGGATTTCAGTCAATGGTGCTTTGGAGAACCATTTCTGTAGATGAGATGTGTGAGTGTGAAGCATCTTTTTCAAGTGTAAAGAACCTCTACATAATGTAAAGGCTCTAAGAAGAACCCATAAATTGGCACAGAATATTTACATTATGTGAAGATGCTTTAAACTATTAAAAGGTTGTTCACATTCACAAATGTCTTTTTCAGACATGGTTGTTCAGGGAACCAAACATCGTTCTTTAATCACTCGAAGAAACCATTTTTAAGAGTGTCAAGTGGCCTTGAAATGTACTTATCAGAAAGCCCCTAGTAAACACAGCGTGTCTGTTTTCTCCCTAAACGTTCATGTGATGTGGTGCGAGGCTGTGATGCTTTGGACTCAAACAATGCGCCAAAACCTGTGCCACTGTCAACTCAGCTCACAGAGGTGGTAAACAACTGAGAACTGACAATGAGACACCAGGAGGCTGCGACTGACCACTGAGTCAGCCAGTGGCCCAGCAGGTGGGTCACCTCTACTGTTTTTAGCAGCATATAAATTTCTCCCAGCAGGACAGTCAGAAGACAGTGCTGAATAATAATTCTCTCAATATGAACAGTTCATTAGGTTTATCTACCTTGTAGCAACACTACTGGCCATTTTATCAGAAACGCAGGTGCACTGTGCAGGTTTAATCTCTTGCTGCACAATTTATCAGCCTCCATCTACCCTGTCCATCAATGGAAAAGGACCACCATAGTGGCATGTGTACGCATAATTAATGGCTGGTTATTCAGCCAAGAGTGGCCTGTGGTCAGTTCATGACCCTGACAACACAGCCATGCCTGATATACTTGTACCAGTGCAACACCCACTAAAATGCTGGAGTCTACTGAAAATGATCTTGCAAACAAATAATATCTTGTCAGTGGTGGTCCTGCGGTGGCCCCTTTCTGTGTGTCGTTGCAGTTGAGGGTGGCTGATGAATTGTGCAGCAATGGACAGGCTACAGTCAGTGACTGTATACCTACAAAGTGTACCTATGTGGTAAGTGTTTCTGATAAAACGTCCAAGTAGGTGTACTTAATAAACAGGCAACTCAGTGAATACAGAGAGAGGGACACCAGCAACTACACTGCAACCCCTGCTATCTCAGTGCTTTTGATTAGTTGTCAGTATCTCTCTCTCCTTCTCCCTCTCTATTGCTGAGCCACACCTCTCCTCATGCTGCCATAAAACAAAAGTACACCACACACCCTGTCAACTCACCACCACAAGGTGCTCTGCAGATCTCTCTTAAAAACAGTTAGCACAGGACCTGCCCATTACTGGCCAGATTAAGACACATTCCCAGAAGACAGTCCACATTTAAAACCAGACATGTTTGCACCCGGTTGTTAAACGGTCTGAACGATACCACTGACGCAGTCAAGACGTCATAGTGTTTACTGTTTATCTCTGGGTCTTTAGTGTTCCTGTGTTAAATATGATGTGAGAGAGAGTGAAAGGGGGAGAGGGAGAAAGAGAGAGAGAGTGATAGATGGAGGAGAAAGAGAGCAAGCTCCCTTAGAGATAGAGAGAGGAAGAAACATGTTGTCCTTGATCCTGTTTGCATGAATTATGATTTTCAGGGGAGTGTAGGGAGGAGATAGAGAGGACGGGTGGGTGTCTCCCACACGCGCTCACGTTTCTCTAGGAGGAGGACTGTGACTCACTGGCTCCAGGCTTTGAATCCTCGCCTGGCCCTTCACCAAAGAACTCCCCCTGAGACCAGCTGAGGGAGGGAGAGAGAGAGAGAGAGAGAGAAAGAGAGAGAGGGAGTGAGTGAGTCATCACTTGTGTTCTCTCGTCACCGTCGTGGGTCACAATTTACTCAAACTGGTCCCTTTCAACACAGCAGCAACAGCTTTGAAATGCCTGTAGATACACAAAAATGCACTTACTCACATCACCTGGCACGTCATTCACGTCATTCTCTTAGCAGATTCAAGTTCTTTCAGAAATCCAGTGCAGACTGAGAGATGTGAAAAGTGAAGTGTCTCTGAATACAGCACTTTTTTGTGACAGAAATGGAAACAGGTCTACCAGTAGTGCCCATGATAAGGAGGTGCCACATTCCTCATACAGCCATGCTGGTAACTGAGTCATCGCACCACACAGAATTCTGAGCAGGATTTCTTCAATTATTCAGGTTATTCAGTCAAGATTTATAATTGGCCACTTCTGAGCACATTGTAAGTCTTACTACAGCAGTAACTAGGCTAATCATTAAGCTTGTTTTTACTGTTCATGTTTATAAGCAATAAAATTTAACTCAGAATCACTGACAAATCTGAGTAAGTTGTTTGTAAATTCACTCACAGGATTTCAAAGAGAAAAACATTTGTCATAAAGTTGCTTCAACTTTTATTGTAGTGATTTGTTGTTAAGACCATTAAAAGCTTGGGCTTGGCCCATTTTTCTTTGCACAGGAGTGAGTTTGTTCAAAGTGTTCACAGTAATATTTTTTAAAAAAATGGAGATTTGAGCAATATATGCTAATAAGTAGTGTATGCTGTTAGTTACATGCAGTGCATCCAACTCAGCATAATGGTAAAATTATCATAGAAAATCTACAGCCTGGCCCATACTACAGGACAATCTGAGGCCGATTTCCCCTCATGACAATTACAAAAGGTGTCCCAATTTTAGGCCAGTCTTAAACAATTATCTACTCACAGTTCAGTCATGGCTGCACCAATTTAGAATCATAAATATTAAAGGTCCACTATGTAAGACGTTTTATTAAAATGGAAAGAAGTAACATTACTGAGTCTTTTCGTACTAACTCTGGCTTTTTGTTTAGGTCTCAAATGTGAAATCAACATTATACTGATAAGGATATGATGACAATAATTCACTTACATCCTCAGGGGCCACCTTCTCCAAGTTTTGATTGAGTTCTCTTTTAATCCTCTTCCAACACGCTCACAATCATCAGATTCACCCGCACAACTGACATGACATAAAACGTTCTTCTGCATGTTGCATGCAATTACACGTTTCTACCAGAGAGGTCTCCAAATCCCCAAAGCATACATAGTGTAGCTTTAAACATGTTCAGTATTTACAACTCAACATCCTTCAGTGCGGTGGGAACGTGGAACGAAATCTGAGCTGAATGTAAGGATAAAATTTGATCCACATTCCACTGCTATTATAAGACTAATTTCCACAGCTACCTCTATTAAATTGCTTATTTAAATTAAAGATATAGCTTATTTTATTCTTATCAATGTTGTAGAAAACTTGTCCTGTTCAGCCTTTCGTTGCAAAGTGCATAGACAACTGAAAAAAAAAAAAATAAATAAATGAAAACACCAAAGCAACCTGTGCCTCGATGTTGTTCGCCACGTTCGGTATGATATAAAGTCACGCGAGAAATCTGCGAGATCCTAGACTGGCCGGGACTTTGGGGGGTGAGCGTGATGTAAAGGCTGTGATGAGAGAAAGACAGGGTCCTGATTTGAGATCTGTCTGTGTGGGGGTCAGCCTGGGTTAGGACTGTATAAATCCTGTCGTGTGGGCACAGTCCGGCCTACATCAGGAGGCAGCCTGAGCGCCACTGTCACGCAGAAAACATCCTCCGCAGAGACCGGAGTTCAGTAATTCTTAGGCTCTAGATCGTCTCCGCGGACCTCTGGCGCAGCCTCCGCCTTAGCAGTGCAGTGTGTGCTGGCTCGCAGCGCTCCGCGGACTGCAGCCCTTGTTTTTCCGGGGGAGGGAGGACCCTCCTCCCGGCAGCCTCATGACTCCGAGCGCGTAAACGCGTCACGTGTCGTGCGGGGAGTGAACTGGGCTACACACACACACACGGCGGCGGCTCACGTTCAGCCTCCTTCATTCATTCGCCCTGCTCCACATCCGAGCGGCCCCGTGTCTCCGACACACGCAGCCAACCAGCGCCCGGGTCAATATGTTCACATCGGTCTGTTTGCAGTTACGAAATGAACAAATTTGTGCACACACGGGCCGGCAGAGAGAGAGAGAGAGAGTGAGAGAGAGAGAGAGAGTGAGAGAGAGGCTCTAAAATCGGCACGGCGAGGAAGCGGCTACTAACTCACACAGACTAGTGTTTAAAAAAGCATGTCGGCTTTACGTTTATAGTTGGACTCGAGGCGAGGGGGCACACATGCCATCATCCTGAGTTACCCAACACACAGACATCCCTCTTAAAAACGAGAGGTTTTAGAAACAGAAAACGAATTGAATTTGACAAAAGCAACACTGAGGCTGAGGGCGAGTCTCCCGAGCTCTGTGACTGCGGTATTTTTTTTTTTATATATATTTATTATACCTTTTATATATATATATATATATATATATCACCCAGTGGCAGTTAAAAGCAGTTGAGAGTTGACACAGCCTCTCTCTTTCTCTCTCTCTCTCTCTCTCTCTCTCTCTCTCTCTCTCACACATACACACACTCACACTGTCCGGCTGCTGGACTGAAACCGATCCGCGTGTCCACGTGTTTTCTCGATTTCCATCTCATTTGAATATGTAAGCTTGGCTCGCCTATCGGCCGTGGCCGCCTTCAAACGCAGACTCTATTTGTCAGATGTGGGTCTGGGAGCGCAAATCGGAGAGCCCAGCCTCTGTGTACCCGCCCTCTCTCTCAGACACGTTGCCTTGGGAGAAGTAACACGGGGCGCACAATCGCAGCTCCGCATCGCTGCGAAGCCCACACGCACCTCACATCGGAGACTGGCTGCTGCTGCCGCCGCCCGAGTGTCCTGGATTTACTGCTGAACAAAGGAAACCAGCCGATTCCCTCCGTCCGCACAAGGTACGGCTGCCCTTCTCCCTAAACCGGCGGGGACGCTTTAGTGAGGAGAAACAAACGGCAGCGGACACGTGTACTTTAGAAATGTCATACACGGAGCGCATGTATTTACATAATGCTTTATTTCCAGAGGTGTCTGGACGCGGTGTGAGATTTACTGGGACTTAAGGCGCATCCGTCCGGTTTTAAGGAAGGTAAATGAACCTCCGGAGTCCGGTTAGCCGTTTAATGATCGTGTAGGCCTGTTCAGAAACACGGCGCCGTCTTTCTTCTCGTTTTAACGCCAGTGTCAATAACAATATTATGTTGTTGTAAATCCTGTGATAACTACTGGGGACTGTGGCTCGGGCCTCTTTTTAACACACAGATGGTCCTCAAACATAATTTTTAAACGTTAATCCAGTCCGTGCTTTAGGAAAACGTTAATTTGTGTAAGGAAAACGTTAATTTGTGTAAGGAAAACGTTAATTTGTTTGGTCATTTGACTTCATACTGTGATGAGGTGTTAGTTGTCTACAGTGCCCCACCCCTCATAAATCCTACAGGTAACTCAACTAATGACGATTTGAACGAAATTTCATTATATTTCGTTTCTTTCTTGTGTGTGATTGTGTGTGTGTGTGTGTGTGTGTGTGTGGTGGGGAAACTGTCTACTTGACCTGTTGCCTGTTACAGCTGTTACAGGAGCAGTTTTACATCTGTGACCGCTGAGGTGTTATTTTGGTCCGTGTAGCCTGCATATCTTTACGCTTATTTTTTAAGTGGTTCCACTTTACGCTAATGACGCTTTTATTTATAACTCTTCACTTAACACCAAAAAGAAGAGAGAGAGAAAAATTACGAAGGCCTTTTAAACAGCCTTTTACTTAAGTTTCTTCTAAAACTTTCTCGGCAGTGGCCCACTGTGGGCTGTTTTCCGCGCGCGGTGCCTGGCCATCTGAGGTGAGATCAGAAATGAGGGGTCTGGTGATCACACCCTCACGTTTCTTCACCATCCCATTGTCACTGATTTTGAACCCAGCTTCAGAGTTTTAACGGATTTGGCTGCTTAACAAAAGCGATAAGCTTGGCTAGAGTCATGATATCACCAGTGGCTTGTCACCTATCAGAGACGTGTTTACTGCTGTGTCTACGGCAGACTCTTACATAAGGCCGCTTTTATTACTCCAGAGGAAACGTGTTCTTAGGCCTAGTCGCCATCTGTGGAACAATTAATGTAGGAATTGATGTAGCATACCCAGGTGATAAGATAAAAGCTAAATATAGCTACAATTAATATCTAGTTGATAAATAAATTGTGGTCATTTTAATGTTATGTTTGCTGTGCGGTAATTCAGAAGAGAATTGATAAACCGATAGTACAGCTGTGTTTGAAAGAAGGAGCAGATACACGCTTCTTGGTTTTATTGGTCTTTTTAATATGGGAAAAGCTGATTTATGCAAGCATCATGTTCCAGACACCTCCCCCAGTTTGTTTAAATAGACATGCTGTTTAGAGTGTGCGTATACCCTATAGCTGGCTTTATGTTGTCACCCTTGTGTGAATCCTGGAGAAAAAAAGCCCTCCTCCCCGTCCTGAGACAGGAGGCTTTCACACTTACTCTGTTTCTCTCCTGTGCCACATGCTCATTTAAACAAAGAAACATTTGCAGACATGATTTCAAATCCTACATCTTCATTGTTAACATGTACGTCTCAGTGTGACTGTTAGAAAAAAAAAAACACGGATGAGTAGACTAATAATGCTGTGATTGGAAAAAAAAAGAAGCCTCAAACCACATCACAAGAATCTCAGTCACTTGATTCATTTGAATCTATAAAAGCACGACACAGGCATTCCAGCCTTTTTGTTAATCCGCCCCAAATGTTTTAACTTTCAGTTTTCAAGTGAGGTTTAGCTGTACATATTTTATCTAATGTATCTCAGCACTGTCGCTCCATTAAAATGGCTGTTGAGAAGGGCTATTGTTTGTGTCCCACGGTGGTCGTCATGGTCGCAGTGTTCCAGTCTCATTGAATAAGCAAGCGAGGATCGGGGCGTGTGCTATGGGCCACCTGGTTGGTTCCACACCATATTTGTAAAGGTTTTGTAATGAAGAGAAAATCAGAGTGGATACGTGCACATAAACTGCTTAACAGTTATGTTTTATGCACGGTTGTAGATAACTGCTCATATAGATGCTTGAATACTTCTATAAGAAATTGTTTATATGTTATACAATATTTGAAACATATATACAGTAGTACTTTTTGTACCAGTGTGACACCTTATACTCAGTCTAAAGACTGATGACCGTGCAGGAGTCAGGAGTCAGGCCCCAGACAGCGAATATATAATCTAATGGAGCTTTCAAGGGCAGTTGGTGGTTTCCAGTGCTTGTGAAGCAGTCAGTCTTTTATATGGGCACTGTTTATCCTTAGTCTGCAGTTGAGGCTCAGGTGTTGTGACTGGATGGTGGCCTGTCTGGCCTACTGCTATGTCGCTACCTCACAGGGTCGGGATTTCACTGAGACCGCATGCTTAGGTTGGCATTTTTAACCACCAATGCCTGCTTGGCTGTTAATCTCTGTGATCGGTCCAGATAGGTGACAGCATTTGAATGCGTCAGAGATATTTGAGGGCCAAAGGCAATTACAGTAACAAACAACCTTTCTGTCTCTGGAATGCTTTTGATTCTCAATGGCCCTGCTTGCTGTTTTCAACATTGCAGTTTGCCATTTCTGTAGTTGTTACAGCAGGCTCTTCTTTTCTCCAACAGGTCAGTGATGGTCAGTGGTGGTTAGGACCTGTGGCCGAGGATGTCAGCTTCAGATTCGGACTATTCCATTGACTGGCTGGCCAGCGATGATGAGGAGGACAACGACAGTGAGGTGGAGACAAAGTGTGAAAGAACGCAGGGGATGCTGTCTAGCGCTCGTGCTGCTGAGGACAAACCTCAAACATGCAACAGGAGCACAGACAGCCCGGTGAAGGACAAGGAGGCCAGAAGCTCCAGGAGTAGCTCCCCCTCCAGCTGCACCAACTCCTTCTACAGCACGGAAGGGGAGCTTTCTCCACCAGGAGAGAGTGATGACCAGTCTGGGTACAGCCGCACCTTAAAAAGTCCTAAAGGCAAGAGCAGGCAGGCGCAGAAGAGAGCGTGGAGCTCGACGGTACCGGAGCAAAAAGAAAGGCAACACACAGCCAACCCAACGGAGAAGGACAGGCTGTTTGCATGCAAGGTGAGGCATGCCACGCTCGCAGTCAGCCTTGAGTCACACTTGACGCATGGGCAGAGCAGTGGAAGTGCCAGTGTACCAAAAAGGGCCCTTATCACCTGCATGATCTAGCTTCGCCCAAGCAGAATAAATGTTTGAAATACGCAAAGTGGAACCACTTCCAGGAAGACCCCTCCTCTCTCTTCTCTCTAGGTGAAAAGTGAATGAGTCATTTTAGTCTTGTGAGGCAACAGGACTCATATTTAATTTATAGGACTTCAGTAAAGCTAGTACATGCCTCCATGCGCATGGTGAAGGGTCAATAATTTACATTTGTTTTGTCTTTGCAGCCTTGTTTTTTTATTTTTGTGTTCATCCAGTATATGGGTGTAATTACTTATATCAGGTAGTGAATATGAGTAGCAGGCCTCAGTGTCAGTATCCTGACATTAATATTTCACAATCAAGGGCATATATTTTGAATTTTAGCCTATTCTTATTAAAAAAAACTTGATCAAAAATAACTGCAGTGTTCTTAAAATACATTCTTGTTTGGGAAAAAAAGATATTCAGAAAACACGTCCTCAGGCCATTTATAGCACAAGAGTTATTCTGTATTGAAGAATGAATAGCGTTTGAATACGAATGATGCTGAACGATGGTCTTTGTTCCACAGTGTGTGGAGTTGCAGTGCTACATTCACCCGCTGTCCTCCATCCTGAACGGCCTCCGCTCTGGCAGATACAGAGAACGTGAGTAGAAGCCTTTTCTGCATGCTGTACTTTTAGTGGGCTGTAGCTATGTTAATGCACTTCTATTAAAGCTACAAGAATTCGATCAGTAAAGCTGTCGCCCTTCAAAACAATTGACGAGTATTGGCCAAATCAGAGGCAGGTTGCCAAGGCATGACATATATGTTCCTGAGATTTGATATTGTAACGTCTTTGGTGTACATTGTTTGATGCAAACCTATCGCATACTTACAACCTTTTGCTCTTGGGATCACTGGTTCACTCTCTCACAATAGAGCACGGTCGCCATAAAGGAACAGGTGCCATAAGATATAAAATACCTCATTCTGTAAATTCCCTAAAGCTTTTCATCACATATTAACAACACAATGGATGTAGTCTCAGGGGTGTACGATGCTTCTCTCTCAATTGCCCACAAGCTGTAGAGTAAAACACTTCAGAAAATGTTTGGCCTGCATGCTTTTTGCATATTAGCTTCACAAGTACATTGGCTTCAACAGAGGCACTTTATAAAAGCTGTGGTCAGAGGATTGGTGAAATGCATTTGAGCCAGACATGGCTTTAACACGTACTACCACATGGTATTAAGCTCGGTAGATGCTGAATGATACATTTCGTTGGCCAGGCTTTAGTTCCACATGGCTTAGCGGGCATGCGGGCAGGCTGTGCAGCAGGCCAGGCTGCTCACGAGCGCTCGGGCTGTGGGATCTGTGTCAAAACCCACGACCCCCAGACTTCCTGGTCACAGAGACAGAGAGTCTGCCCTCCCACACACTTCACAGGAACCCATCTGCTCTACAGACGCAGCCCGGCCTGTCAGAGACAATGCGCCGGAGTTGAATGTTTTAAAAAAACAAAAAACAAAACTGTCTTTTCCTTTCACAGGGCTCAGCACTTTTCAGGAGAGTGTGGCCATGGATCGGATCCAGAGGATAATGGGGGTCCTGCAGAACCCGTGCATGGGGTAAGAGCCTTCTTTGTCACAATGCACCAATATGGGAATTCTCGTCCAATGCCAATATCTGGTATTTTTTATGTACATATCTTCTGATGTGGATGTACATTTATAAACTTTAGAAAGTGGATTTAGATCCATCTGAGTTAACATTATAGGGTAATATTTTTGTATAGGGTTATAACTGCAGGAAAAAACTAACAAAATGCTGACATTTTAGCACAGTAGCCCACAGTTGCTTACACTTGTGTTCTCCCAGCATACAATAAATGTGTCATTAAATAGCAGTCTGAATTATCGGTCAAATCTAAAGTACGAGTGGGCAATTTGGCAAAAATCTATAATCACGTAACATTTTTACTATAAACAGTATATGTCACAATATTTAACTTTTCTGATGTTTATTAATAAGCCAGAACAGACAAAAAAGAACCAGTAGTGCCACATTTAAAAAATACTATCAAAAACCATGAATACAGTGATTATTATTAAACATTTCACATATTGTGCTGAATTAAATCCAGTTAACTACGGCCAATTATGTTCCCTTTGCAATGAAACATGCAGTTGGTTAGTGTTCTTGAAAGTACCATTGCTATCCACAATATGCTCCGAAAGTATATTATGTGACTTTTATCACAATAATGATAAATATCATTATATTACGCACCCCTATTCTAATAAATTTTCTTAAGGCAGTTATCTGTCAATACCAATGTAATTCCAAAATCATTGTGCCCCGCTACTTCCTTCTTTTCCCTGTTCAACCCACACATAGCTTGCTGAATTTGCCCATCCATCACACTGATGGCAGCATGTGTATATATAGTTATTCAGTCTGATTTACCTCCCAGTGTTGCACTCACCCACGCTCTTGTTGATAGACAGGTGTATGTGGGCATTCACATGTGTTCAAGGGTTTGTGGCATGCAGACCAAGTCTCAGATTTTCCATCGCGCTACTGAATGGCTCCTGTACAGCTGTAGTTGTGTTTGTGGCTTCTCAGCAGGTCTCCTCTTGCTCTGGATGCTAAAGTGACACCTGTGAAGGCTGTAGGCCCACAGCATGAGGCTCCACTGTGGGCCAGCAGGAGGGCCAATCAGCCCTGTTAGATCAGCTGTTACAGAGCTTAAAGTGGACGCGCTACAGTGGACAATCCTTGCCCAGGTCATTAAAAATGTCCTGAGCTCCATTCTGGGAATAACCTTGCATCCAATTGATTAGCTCTGCTGGTGAGACTGTGTAATGGCCTATGATGTCACTGTTAGGAGGTGAAAAGTCTTCTGTTGCTTCAAACAGTTTGCTGTTCCAGGGTAGGTCAGAGTGGGTAATGGACACATCATTCTGCGTTTTCAGAGCAGCTTTTGGCAAATAGCCCACCTATGTTGCCTTTTGTGTTACATGGCTTAAAAAGTCCACTCTCCTTATGTTGATGTAGTTCTGATATATAGTATCTAGTCTGACAGTCTAAGTCTGACCTGAGGCCTGTAAGATTGTAGCTGGTCCAGTATGCTGTTGAAACATCATAGTCATCTGAAACAAGAAGCCGGTGACTGTCATGGATCTACAGTTTTGGGTGGAGTGCTTATTTAGGCCATCTGATTAAGGCACCAAGCCAAGACAGCCCCAGTTCAACCACCAGCTGCTCCCAACATCGGAGAGACAAAGCGGGGGAGTGGCTGCCTCCCTGCAGGCATACGCAGCACGGGGGGAGCAAAGCGAGGTCGTCATGCACCTCCTCCCTCGGGCTATACCATTATGCCAGCTGGCAGCTCCTCAGAGGAGGGCCACAATGGTGGAAAGGGGATAAAAGTGACTTCTCTGACAAGGACCATTCTAGATAATCTATCGCATAAATTTAACATGCTTAGAATGGGGACACAGCAGGTAGACCCTGGTCATGTGATTTACACTAATCTCCATTAACCATCTGCTGGGGCCCACTAGGAGTCAATGGGCACTGGTCTGCGTGTGTGCATGTTTGCGTATGTGTGTGTAGGGGTGGGCGTGTAAGCCTGCGTCACTTTTCCTTAGCAGAATTACTTTTCTTTTCTGTGCAGCGCGGTTGCCAGTGCCCCGCTGCAGGCTTACGTGCCTATTTTTAGAGGCGAGAGAAATGTTGCGCTTCATGCCACGTGTGGGCACAAACATGTGTGAATCAGCCTAGGACGTGTTCTAGGCTGGAGCAGAGTGTACTCTATATGTGGTGAGGTGCATTTTTGCATCCGATGAGGTCAGCAAGAGAGACTAGACTTTCACACTTACTCAGATCAGAACTGATGCACTCCCTGGTTCAAACTCGTGCCACTTCAATGTAGTTTTAATGTGTGTATTCCGGTCATGAGTGGAAAGCTCCTGCTAAATCATATCCTTCCTGTGCCATGCAGTGAGCGGTATGTCAACATCATTCTGAAAATGGAGGAAATGCTGAAGAGCTGGTTCCCTCACGTAAAACCCCGCCAACAAGCCACTGCTATGGAGCTGACGCAAGAGACAACTCCGCTAAAGAAACCGAAGGTAATTTGTTTGTTACTGGTTATTGTGGCTGTCACATTTGTGCTTTGAAACCTGGCAGGAGGCTTTCATAAACAGCAAAAGTTAGCAGGATAGAAATCCCCAAGGTTTTTTTTTTAAAGAAGTAGGTGTAGGTGGATACCATGAGACACAATGTACTTTACTAGCACATTGTGTACTAGTTTACTTTGTTTCTGTAGTGCAAGTATAATCATTTAAGATAAACACATTGGGGAAAAGCAGTGAGTTGAATGCCTGTATAAAACCGAAGGTAATTTCACACCAGTGTTCCTCACAGAGACCTGTCATGAACATGAGTAAGGTGACTACTGGCAGACAGCAAAGGACAGCCTAAAATACCCATTATTCTTTAATCACTGGGCCAGTGAGGAACAGGGCAGGCAGAAAGGGATTAAAATCTATTTTTACAGTTGAAAGGTACTACGCACACGTTTCATGTTACCTAAGAACAAAGGTAATTTGGGAAAAGAGCCTCCCTGGATAGCTAAGGGTGAACAAAGTCATCTGTGTAAAAGATCATTCCAGGGTTTCTATACAAGTCTTCCTAATTTTGTCTGCTGGATTCTCGTCTTTAAATAGACTTGCATATTCATATGGTGATTCAGATGGGCCGAGCCTAAGCTCACTTATTGGATTGCTTGGCTTTTCCAAAGATAGCATTCACTTACTAGTAAAATTCACACTGATATAAAGTAGTAATAAACAGTATAAAAGAACACAATGTACTGAACAGTTTTCATGTCACACGTGCTTGAAATAAAGAAGTAATATACTCTTTTTCTCTGTGTATCACAGTTGTCCTCAGCTCCTGTCCCCATGTCCACTGGTCTGGTTAACGCTGCCACTAGCAATGCTCCCCACATGGGTGCCAAGGCCATGCGGGTCAGTGACCTCACCCCCCCTGCGCCTTACTTTGCCACCAACCTGAAATGGTTTCACACATCTCCTATCTGCTCACCCACAGCCGAGCAGGCCCAGGGGACGATCCGGAACTTTTTAACAGCCCACAGGGACAAGGACATAACGCAGGACAACTCAGTGTCCTCCAGTACGGACACACCTCAACCTAAGACGGACTTGATGCCCAGTCGGCCTCCTCTGGGCAAGATCAACGCTCCCTGCCTGGAGAGACTGCTGAAATCCACAGAGAGCATTATCAGCCAGAAAGGCTCTGGGGGGACGGGCGGCATGGCAGCTGGCGGCTGGTCCTAGTCTACAGAGACGGCTCTGGGCGATCAGAGCCAGGCCAGCACCCGCCGGAGTCAGTCAGCTCACTCCAGTGCAAAGCGTACCGCTCCATTTCAGCCTTCAGGAGAGACACAAAGCCGAGCAAGCCCAGCTTAGCACCTAGAGGAACACAGCCTTCAGATACACGCCGAAGAAAGCATCAGCTGGTGTGACTGGTGTGTGTCAATGTGTCCTCATCTAACTTGTGCATCAGAACTGAATCGTCACTGTTGGATTACAGTGTGTGTGTGTCTGCGTGTGTGTGTGCGTGCGTGTGAATGCTGCGAGTGTAAGTTAGGAAAGCCCTCTGATGCTGAGCCCCCTGAGCTCTCTTTAAGGAGGATATCCCTGGTGAGACAGGGCGTGCATAGACTACAGTGGCTCGACATGTTCAGGCACTATATTGGTATCTGTGAATAAAAGCAAGCATGACTTCAGAAAGGGAAGGGAAAAGAGGGAGTAATACATTTTTTGGGAACACTTCAGATATTCCAGTGTGTCAGTGCTCTCCATTGTAGTTGTAGTTTAAATACGTGGGTTGAATGTGAATTTTGCTTTTCTTTTTCTTTTTCTTTTTTTTTCATCCACTCTACCGAGTCGGTTGATGTGACTGTTACTTCATAGGTTTAAAATTCTAGCTACGTTTTTGGTACAACGGTTCTACCTCAATCTGACACCATGTCAACAGTTGTGTACAGGAACGAACGAGAATGAACGTACACTAACGTCAAAATCAGAAAGAGGGGGCCGACTAAGATCATGGTGAGCCAAATTTGCCTGTAGTGCCCAGGGTCTTGGGTACGGGCTGCTCTGCTTGTGTGAACCCAGGAGACTCTTTCCATTAGGAAAAGCTCTGGAGGCCTGACTGGTGCCATTGTATAGAATGTGAACTGCAAATTTCTTTCACTTTTTTTTTCTTTCTCTGAGAATCTCCCAGTTCGAGGGCATCCAGTGCCTGTTAATTCGATGTCAAGCTGTGCCTGTACACTGGTTTTGAAGTGAAATGCGAACCATTTGGAATACCTGCAACCTCTAAAGGATCAACTGAAACAAATCATTCAGGAACCCTCCAAACTCCTGCCATTTCCTGTTATCACGTAAATTATTGAAATGTTTGCCAACCGCTCCTTGTGGTCAAGTGGGACAATGACATTGCTGTTTGCCACAGAGCTGGATGATATCTTGAGAGGGAGAAGGTATTCAAAGTTTGTGTAAATATTTGAAGTTGTTAAACTACCCTTTGCAAAGTGGCCTTTATAGTGTGATATTTTATACTTTCAAAATAAATGTGGTTATATTTGTTTGGCGTATTCCCGTTGTCTCAGCCCCCCTTTTCTTCTTATCTTTCTTCACTTCGCCTGACTGGTCTCTCTGACTTAACAGCCAATCATGGATTCATTCCTGTCTTACAAGAACCTCATGACGCACAGTCCAAACTGAATTATTCAAGAGGATCTTGTTTGGTTAATTCATAAAGTGAAAGGTGAAGCATTACAGCATCCCCAACATGACTGGCCTTGTGTGTTCTCAATATCACTTTGATGTCCCACCAGGACACTGGCCTCTTTGTTCTCCAAATCTTCATTAACATTTTGATATAAAGAAATTGTATTCAGCTATCTCAGTCATCTTTAGCCATCTCACCACAGCATAACTGAACCAAACCAAACTTAACTCACCAGTCTGGCACATCTAAGAATAGCAGAATCTGAAATATGACTCATGTTAAATCACAACTTGACCTTTCAAAAAACTGAATCCATTACCTGTCAAAGAGTACTGAATAGCACTAAAGTGATCTCAAATGATTAACTGCCCTTGAGTTTCTGGGAAGGAGAAGGTCAGATGGGGGAGTGCCCTGCAGAATCAAAAACCACATCCTCATGGGAACAGAAAAGAAAATGTTGTTCTGCACAGTGAGCGATTCAAATGAGCTTCTCCTTCCCATCCTCCTGCGGCTGTAGAAAATGAAAATCAGGCTTCAACCACGCTCAACGGACCCTGAAAAAGATACGGTTTCACTTCTTGCTGCAGTTCTAGGGAAAGATTTGTTTCTGACGAGAACCTGACTTGCCCGCCACTGAGCTTTATTCTAAGAAAAAACATATTTTCAATGTCTTCCGTGCTAATCTCACTGATTGGAAAGCAGGGTGGAAGTTCCTTTTGATACAAATAAACTTATAAACATCTCGTTCAAATGTTACTCAGCTGTCAGTATGTTGAGATGTCAACAGAGTAACTTAAGAGAGTGAAACAAGAAGCCAATTTCAAGGCACTTTCACTTCGCAGAAATCTTTGTCCTCAAATCAACCATACAATAGCTCTCTTCAGGCTGTGAGATGAGTACAGTAACGATGTACACTGCATGACTGACATTAGTGCAGTCATCTATAGGTTCGAAAACAAAGAGAAATGACTGCAGTGATGAGCTGGTTTTCTCATGTCCTGTTCAAGTATAAACCAGTTAAATGTTGTGTAATAAATACAAAAGCATGTTAAACTCTCGTGAATGTGATGTAAAAGATCAGGATATTTCACATAGCAAAACACAAATGTGTTTCTGATTCATGATTATATCTTTTGACAGTATATGAGCACACTCTCAAAAATAAAGATTCCTAAATAGTTCTTGGCTTGGACACACGGTTCTCGGAAAAAGAAAAATTTTAAGAGTTTTAGTTTTAGTCACTGACCATATAAAATACAATATTTTTTACATGTTTTGGGTTTTGAAGGTTGTGAAATTTTTTCGCTCTAATTTTTAATTGTATTTAATTTGTTATTTTAAGTTTAATTTTATTTGAGATTGAAAAGATTTTTTAACACAAAGATGTACAGTGGGGTCCAAAAATCTCATACCACAATGAAAATCCAGTATTTCTTCTCATTTAACCCTGGAAATAAAGAACAGGAAGTTTGAAAAAGTTCAAAATTTAAAACAAAGAAAAGTCATAACAAGTGAAATGAAGAGGAAATATTCACAATTCTGTATCATTTCTAGGTCACTATTCAAATCTAAGCAAATTTGTGACACTGACAATGTTAAGGCCTTTGTACAAAAAGTTTTTTTTTTAGTCTTATCTCTTCCACTGGAGCTCGCCGGTGAATTTAATCTACTCATCAGAAGCTTTTGTCACTGTTAGTGATCAGAGTTATGCCAGTTTAAGTGTACACTGTCATTAAAGCATAAGGAGGACCAACACTACTGTTCTCTCAGATTGTTCTGCTGATATCATGTGTAATGAAAAACATTATATTAAGTTATATAGAGGTTATTTTACAGATAAGTGGTAAATGAATATTTAAAATTATAGAATGAATATGTATGTTGTAAATACATTAGGCACAAAATCCTGCAGTTTCATGTGTACTCAATGCCCCAAACCATCTAATTAAACTTATAGAGAGCTTGAAAGTTATCTGATGAGCAGGCCTAGTTGTGCCGAGCTGGTGAAGGGGCAGCAGGTCTGCAAAAATGAAGCTGGTCCCATTGTTTGTAATGGTGTAAATGAGACTATGTATGAGTTATTTTAAAAGTGTGATGAGAAGACCAATGGTTACATTTTTGCAGCATTCACAAGATTTGTGTTTGTGTATCTTTCATTCATTGACTGTAATTCTTTTATCACTAATCATGTTAGGAATGAAGGAAAATATCACAAATTGATACATGAAAATTGCCTTTTTTTTGGTCCGAAACAGCACAAGGTATGTTGTGAAATTCAGAATATTATATTTTTTCTACCACAAATGATGCTATGAGACAGTTTAGAGTGTGGACTGCTGGGTTATGTAGTTTTAGTGACAGTCAGAAGTAAGCATAAATTGAATGCTTTAAACAGTTGCTGAGGGTCTCTAAGGGTAAGAAAAGATTCTTGATGCTCACATATCTCAGTTAGAAAAATGTTTCTTTAAAGAACTGTCCACTGAGAGGTTCTTTAAGGCACCAAAAGTGGTTCTTCTACAGCGTCACTCCAAATAGTTCTTTTTTTACATTTAATAATAAGGGTTTAGGATGCAGTTTGTGCCTGGCTTGGGCAACACTGTCTGTCTCTGAGGAGGATACATCTGCGTGGCAGGAACGCACTACCTTAGCTGAACTCTGCACACCAAAACGCACGTCACATCCTCATTCCGAGGGGGCAGGAACAGTTAACCCCCAACTTCTGCTTCTCACCTCATTCTTGCTAAACATTTTTTTCACACAGCATGGTGTGGAAGGAGTGGGCAGCTGATGAAGGCCAGGCAGACTAATAAAGACTGTTTGCTATTAGTTCAGTTTATAAAAAACCGAAATGTTATGAATGGCTCCAAAATTAGACAAATAATGACTGTAATAATGACTGAAATTAAATGAGTCAATTTACAGTGCGCATAGTGAACCTGGGGAGCTTTGAATGTGTGCACAATCATTATGGGTGATCAAGACTAAATCTCTTTCATACCAATCGTACTGATTATCTCTAAACTGAGTGTGAAATGCTAATACCTTATTAACACCAACACAATCTAGCCTCTCAGAGAGGCAGCAGAGTACCAGTGCAGCGTGATGTGGGGGTCCTTTGGCATGATATCAAATACAAAATCATAAGTTTTAAAGCCCAAGCTTTTAAAAAGGATCAAAACCCTTTAAAGCATCTACTGTTTGAGTTAGCTTTCCTGGAATCATATGCTGGTCACGCGCTGTCAGTCCTAGATTAGCTAAGAAGGACAGTGGGAGGTATGTCCAGTGCTGACCAAGACATATTCATCTCTCTCTCTTTCTCTCTCTCTCTCTCTCTCGACTCTGAGCACTTTCAGTGACTTTCAGAGGACAAGAGGAAGTCCTTTTGAATAGAAGGAAGAATGACACTGAGGACTGATGATTTGCAGTATACTCTGTTCTGTAGAGTTCACACAAGTGGCATGAGCAACACAGAGAATATTTGCCATTTGACACAACAGCTGCCCTTTACACTGACCAATAGAAATGATCCAAAATAACCTGGTTAAGAGCATCATACAAAGTTCAGAGCTTCAGAGAAACAAGGTTTTCTAACAACAGAGACAATGTACAGCCGTTTTCAAAAACCAGAAACCCAAATGTATGACGTTCTAACAAATTCTAACAGTTATGTCCACTCCTATTCTCATAGTCATGTCCACTGGGTAATAGAAATAACACTGACACACAGGTAAGTACATGCAGGTTATAAAGTAGGCTGTGAGTAAATAGAATAGATTCACACCTGTTTTGATATAGGCTGTTATGTATGGAAGCCTATTCTTGTCGGGTAGAAAAGAAATAAAATCTGTTTGTTTTTTTTTCTCTTTCTCTGTTACTGGCAGCAGTGTGACCTACTATCTTGGAATTTTTACTTATTTTCTCAAAATTCTGACTTATGATGTCAGAAAATGACAAAATTATTAATTAGACAGTAAATTTCAAGAAAGTAGTTATTTTATTTTCCACATGGTAAGTAATTATTTGGGCACAATAAGTCATTATTTCTATACAAGACAATATTTAGAAAAGAAAAAATGTTATTTTGACAAAATTTTGAAACTCAAAATTTCACAAAAATGCTATTATAAAATAAAGTCAAAATAAAAAGTCATTATTGTATTCATTTATGTTTTAAACACGATAAAGTTACATCACAAAATCTAAACTGAAACAAATGCACTTGAAACAATGCAACATTTCATGCATAGAAAGCATTTTTCTTTCAATACTTTCTTTCAATACACCAAGCAAGGGCATGTAGAGTGGTTCTCTGTTGTGTAAATAGGCTCAAAGAGGCTATGGGCAACATACAGTGAAGCTCTGGTGTGCTCACTGGAGGATGTGGTAAATGGTTTCCTTAGAGGACTGCTAAGGCATGAGAAAAGAGAGAGAGAGAAAAGAGAGAGAAGAGAGAGAGAGAGAGAGAGAGAGAGAGAGAGAGAGAGATAGCACACTGATCACTAATGGTGGGGGGCATTGAGATAGCACTGGTTGCTGGTCTCTCTCACTATATATATATATATATATATATATATATATATATATATATTTTGAGGAACAAAGGCAGCTGGAACAAAAACAGCCCATTCATTCTGAATTGCCCTTGATTTGTGCTCCCGCTGGGTCTGAAATGACAAGGCTGCACAGCAACAGGGCTGATTGGAGAGACAAAGCAATTTCTCTCTCCTTTCTAAAGCCTTGGAACTGCTCATGGTTCTGAGTAGAGCTCTAGATTTTTCTGCTACTTTAAGCAACGGGACGTTGCATTGACTTTGGTTTTCAGTCTGTGTAGTGACTACAGATCATGTATATTTAAATAAGAGA